AATCCTAATTCTTTTCCCTCTACATTAGCATTACCTGTGAAAGTAGACTCAGTTTGAGGACTTCTGTCCCAGGGGGAAAAAAAGTGATAGCTTCACGAATGCAGTGCTGTGAACAGGTAAGAATTGCCTCCACTGGGAGGTAAAAACAGCCTCAACACATGCCAAAGTAGAAATAGAAAACATGGGATTATTAAAAATTCACACTGCCACCCTTGTGTAATTGCATGAAAGTAATCAACTTGCATGACTGGAAATGAAAGAGGAAGGAAATAGATTTTCTTTCCATGTGAAAAAACAACTGAGAAGTCTTAAAGTCTTAGGAATTCAGATACCATGCAAGTATGGACTAGATAGGTTAGGCATGAATAGAATAACTGTGTATTAGTCCTTCTTCTTTTTAAAGAAATGTGAATGTTTTGAAAAGAAACATGAATGTTTACAAGACACAGAATAACACTACTAGTTTGATTTGTTCCATTTATTCCTGTTCTGTCTCTCTTCTTTCTTCCTCTGGTGATGCACAACTATAAGCAAATTCTGTAGATCATCCCATGGAGACCTTGGTATATTGAATTCATTAGAAGCAAAGAAAAAGTGCCTTCTCTTAAATCCCTTTAAATCTATTTCAGATTATGGTACTGCCTTCAGAATGTTGGAATCTGAAAATCAGAGGGATTGTTTCAGTTTCATAAATATTAGAATTCTGGGAGTTGACCATGACCTGTAGAGTATCTGAAATCCTTCTGGTTCCAACTAATGTTATGTTATTCCCATGAGAATGGGAAGAGCTCCAACATAAGGAAGAAAATTTTGTTGAGTGAATCCCAGGATGGCAGCATATGTCAAGTTAGTATTCTCAAAATATGAGCAAATTCCTCTAGAGAATTTGGGGATTTTGTTGTTTGTTTTTTTTCCCCCCATTCTTCAAATATATGACTCAAAATACTACAAAGATGTGGTCATTTTAGATGAAATGGCATTAGAGTTGCTGCTGTGTGGCTACTATGTCTAACAGGTCCAACTCTTTTCTTCATGGTATGAAATGTGAAATTTTTTTTTCTATTTTTTTTACAAATTTTTAAGGTTCCATTGTCTTTCTGTTATAATTCCTGTTGTAGGATTTCTCTTCGATAACATATGATCATTATATTATTTATTCAAAAATTAAAGTACAGCTTTGTTTGATTATGACCAGGGTGGCCAGTTTATTGTGATGGTCATCAGTTTCAATAATTACTAATCAATGCAGCTGAAATACATGACTGTATCTCTTACTCATAATTACCTCAACTATACAAATTATCAAGGTTGCTTGTTTCTGTGTCAGAGAACATTCTGAAAGGAAGTCTATTCCACAGGAAAAGAGAATGACAGGTAAAATAAATGAAGTGTGTCTGCTTAGGAACGAGTGTTTTGTGCATAATTATTTCATGCCTTGCAAATTAACTACATCATATGTGCCTGGGAATTACAGAAAACTGAAGTAATGTACCTAGGGCATATTGGAATTTACTATGTAATTATATTTCTTGTTGCATTTTGTATTTTTCAAACAGCTTGCAACATGAGAATCCAGAAAAGTGATGCCAGTGCTGGTATTCTCTATTACTGCTTTTGGCATATGTGTATTTCCCAGAAGTCAAATAAATATTCTGTTTATTTATCCTTTTTCTAGTATCTCTGTAGGTATGCAAATTATGGATAGGATAATTATTCAGCAATGTAGGTTAAAACCCCCAGGAAGAGGCCAGAAGGGTCTGTTTGGCTTCTAACAAAGTGAAATGTTAAAAACAAAGGAGTTTCTAAGAAGGTTCCAAAAAAGAGCAGTGTTCTACTTTTTTTGTGTTAAAGTGCTAATTAAAAGTGATGGAACATTTTGTATTTTACTTTATGGAGTTTTATTTGAACTGCTGTGGTGGAGCTGCTTGCCACTTGGTACCTTTCTGTAGCTGCCTTCTGTCCAGGCTCTGTGGGCTGCTTTGCTTCATGAGCCAGCCTTGGCAGGGTTTTCTGCCATGAGCAAGACCCTGCTCCACTCACTCACAATGCCTGGATGTCATGAGTTGCTAGAATTGCTCTTGGTTTCTCCACTGTTGCTGTTGTTTCCATCACCCTTTTAAGCAAAATGTACCTAAGACAGAAAATGGAAACAAACCAGTTCTGGCATTCATCACAGCTATCAATTTCATGATGAGATACTGGTGTATTTCTAAACAGATGAGGATATAGAAACAGGAATACAATTTGAAAATAAGATTCTAAAACGTCTCTGTAAGTGCTCACTTTGTCTAAGCTGCAGCAGTAAAATTTGGTTTGTCTGTCACCTGCGTAGACAGGAAACTTATAAATATTCAGGTTTGAAAATGATGGAAGAGATAATTGTTTTTAGACCCAGCACTTACAAAAGTGCTTCTGACAAGCAGCTTTCCTGCAAAGGAATATTATGTCGGTGCTCTTTGCAGCATTTATTGCAAAGGCTGCGTTGATATTTCCCTTACAAAACTTTCTTGCAGTTCTTTCGATAAAAATCCACTCCATAATGAAACATGGAACATCTGATCTCATCTCTTGACCAGTGATTGTTCTTACCAGCTTTCCACAAAATTGACTGAGCTGAGGTTTTTATATTTTACAAAGGTTAAAAAAGGTGTGGAGCGGAGGAGGGGAGGGAGGGGAGCAGTAACAATGTAGTTGATGGAAACAGTTTGTTTTCCAATTTTAGGATCAAAACGATGTGCTCTTGACATCATCTGTAGGCCAGTTGTGCTGTAGTGGAATTCATTACTGTTCTTCTTGGGGCATGAACTTTTACACATTGTCCCATCTGTAGGAAAATATTTCAACAGATACATAAATCTTTATCACATGGCAGTAACAACTGAAAATGATAACGAAGTAAAATACTATGTAAGATGATATAGTGCATTATTTTTTAAATAATTTCAGATTACAGGGAGGAAAAAAAATCACCACTTCCAAATTATGGAGTGCTGAGAGGCTTTTTAGTCTTGGTCTGTTGTTTTGTTTGATTTGTTTGGTTTGTTTTTCCATTTTTTCTGCTGTTGTCAAATTATATAAACAGGTGTGGTGGTGATCAAACCATTTGGAAACACTTGAATTTATTTTTTTTTTGGGAAGGTCAGTAATTGAAATAAGCTACAATTCTTATGTCTGCTCATTGCATCTGACTAGAATTGACAATCTGAGAAAGGAATACTGAGTCCCCATCTACTTGGTCAAAGATAGCAACATCTTCACTGTTGTGAGGAGTTTTGGCTGCTAAAGCCACAATGATCAGCTTTGCTGCTATTTGGGGTTGATTTATGTGCTTTTTTGTTTTCCTGAACTTGTTTTTCTCAGCTGTTCTGTCAGCTTTGCATTTTGTGGCTTCTGGTTTGCTTGCTTGTTTGCTTTAAGGTTGCTCCTATTTTCATCATTATATGGACTTGATATTATAAACTAAATAATTGTGGTTTTTTTTTTCTTGTTGTGGCTGGCCATATGACCTCTCAGTTCTCTTTGGAATGTGTCCATTACACACAACCTCAGTCCCTTTGACGTGCCTTGAAGGAGTTCATGGCATGCCTTTACGTTAGGCATGATTAAGGTGCCACCTTTCAGTGCTCAGACCCTGCAAAGAAGAAGCTGATCTTTAGCTGGCCTACCCTGAAATAATCAGCAAATTCAGCTGAAATTTTCTGGTGAGAACAAACCTAAGTGGCAGCCTTAGAAGAAGACAAAATCAAGTGACACTTTTGCTGAATCTTCGCTGTATCTTCTTATTTTGGTGTAAATCTTCCTGGATCGACTTAGTAAATAAATAGTAAAACTATTTATTTATTTTTATCATTAGAAGAGGTATACTAGACAAATCTAAGAGTCTTTGGAGACTTTAGAAAGAGGTGAGCGAGAGCAGCATTAGGGACTGGAACACCTTTGTTCTTCTCTCAAATGCAGGTGTAACTGTCTCGATAAATATCACAGTCCCAGTTTACTTTTAACTTTCAGAAGTTTGCTGTAAAAATAGACTCACTGAAGTTTCACACACCTTCAGGTTAGACCTTTCAATCTAGAGGTATACAGCTAAACTTCCTGAGTTACAGAGCCTTTTTAATTGTTTTCTTAGGAGAATTACAGTGTTTGATCACTTATGATATTAGTATTTCCATGCTGTGGAAAGGCTTGGATAATATATGCAGATTCCTGAAGCAACTTTACTGCAGAAAAATAGAATGTTTGGGAATGTTTGTCAGTTTTTCAATAGCAAATGGAGGTTAATCTGAGTATGGGTTATGAAATATTTTCAATTTCAAAGCATTAACTAAAGCGACATTTTGAATTTAAGTGAATCTGCATGCTCCTTCTACCTCATTGCCTCCATGCAAACAGAAGAGATTGAATTTTTATTCATAATCCTAAATAGAAATCCACTATATTGAATTACCTCAAATTGTTAAATGTACTACATATGCATGTATAAGTAGAACTTTCAGTCTATTAGTAAAAATAAATAATTATTTATTTTTAAGAATTTGAGAAATCTAATAGTCCAGTTCAATATTAGTAGTAATGAACATGAGAAAAATCTGTAGACAAACTATACAGGGTTAGATACAGGATTCTCAACATCTGTAAGTACGTGACAAACAGGCTGGTTTTGGGAAGGTTTTATTTTAGGCACTGAACAAATCTGTGAGGGGGCAGAAATCAAGGCCATTGTTGGGATTTTTAGAGTAAGGCCAGAGTTAACTCAAGTCCTGTAGTTTCTAGGTTTATATATGTTAAACACCACTCAATACACCCTTCAAAATCTTGCTAAACTCTTCCACTTTATCCCACAGGGAAAACAAACTGCCCTGCGTAGACAACTGTATCCACACCCCTGTGTTCTAGGGCCTGGTTTCTCTAGGAACCTTCATGGAGCCTCTTGTACAACACCCCTCTCTTTGTCCACGTGCTGGATCCAGCAGTAACGTCAATTTTTTTTTGTTGTTTTTCAGCTCTGAGGGACAACAGAATCGAGCTGGTGCGAGCGTCGTGGCACGAGCTGAGTATCAGTGTCAGCGACGTGTCCCTGTCGGACGAAGGGCAGTACACCTGCTCTTTGTTCACCATGCCTGTCAAAACTTCCAAGGCTTTCCTCACCGTCCTCGGTAAGCACAGACCCAGCTGAGCAGAAAGAAGCAAGTGTTAAACTCCTCAGGCTCTGGCAAATTATGATAAGAAGCAACTTTTCTAAGGCTTGGCAGAAGATAAATGTAAACGTCTGATCTAGTTTCCCCTGATGTTTATTGTTTCATATTGCTGGGCTGAAAAATAACGTGCCTCTTACTGTTTGCACCGTGGCAGGGTAATGAGGTAGGGAGCACACAAACACCACGGAACGAGTGCTCCATAAAATGGACATAACCTCTACATCCTGAGCACCACGAGTGCACAGAAGGTGCATGTGTTCATCTCCTGACAATCTATTGGATAGGGCAAAGGGGAGAAAATCAGAAAGCATGAAATCAAAATGGGCTTTAGAGCTTTATCATTTTTCCTTAGCTGTGCATTTTCTTTTGGCTCATTCTGCTTTCTCTCTCTCTCTCTTTTTTTTTTTTTTTTTTTTTTTTTTTGTCTGTAAAGTGCAAATTTTCACTGGGTTTGCCGCTTCTTTTATGCTTTATCCTCTAAGTGCTCTGCTGTTTTCCCCAAAGGTTATAGAAACACATAGAAAAGCAATAGAATTCAAGAGATGCCCAGGAAATAAAGTTTCTGCTTGAAGCTTTATATGATTCTATGAATGTCAGTAGCCCAATCAGCCAAAATTGCTATAGTTCACTAAAACACACCTACGAACCTAAGAGGCTATATGATTTTAAAGATTGATTTTTATTCTTTTTTCCTTTTTTCTGTCCCTGAACATGACTCTTTCTTTCTTTTTGTTTTATTTTTATATGTGGATGGGCAGACAGTTGAATTTAATAGAACTAATGTAAGATATTCTCTGTGGCAGTAATATTCACATTAATCCAGCCAGGGAATTGGTTTTGTGCTTAGGATATGAAATACATCTCCCTTTCAGTCCCTGTGAGACTATTTTACAAAAATCTTCACAACTTTGGCATTAAGGCTAAAAAGTACCCATTCAAAGCAAAATATTCTGGAAGAGCAACTGCCTATGCTTCATCTTCCTTCTGTAGAGAGGCATTTCATGATCTAAACAATTGAGGAGTGCACCAGTTCGACCTTTTAAATGGCAGAAAGACCTAGGAAGGTGTTACAAAGACAAGAAAACTCCCAAAATATCTAGCGAATATTTATTAATAAAAGTAGCTTGATCCTTAACAGTCCTTTAAGCTCTACCTTTGTTTTGGGGGAGGGTTTAATGAAGCTTTCCCAACATCCTTTACTTACCTTCCAAGAGAGAAAGCTGCAGTTTAGAATTCCTGCCTTTTTTCATTTTGTATTTGTAATTTCCTATTTTAAAGGAACATTTTAAACTCTTAAAACATTTTCTGCCAGAGAAGGGGATCTTTACCACTGAACTGTATTGCATCTTTTAATCAGATAAACTATCCTTTTATGTACTAATAATCTCTTTATTGACTGCTCTGCTTTTGATTAGAAATTCAAGGTATTGTGTCGAGGTATTGTAGTAGACACCATTTTCTGTCCTAAAAGAGAGGACTAGGTTTATTAAAGAGATGTACTGTGCAATAGGTGATGCTGCTTTGCTTTTATGTACATAATCTGTCATTTTGGAAAAGAGATGTAGAAAAACTGAATTGTTAAATGCAGGGCACAAGATCAATTACTGTGACCGAGCCCTTTATCTTGCCACAAATGTGAATGCACCAAAGCAGTATAGCTGCAAGATATAACTGACATTTTTGGAGATTTTAAAATTATTTTTAAAAAGTCATCAGTATTACTTTAAAATAAGTTATTCTTGTGTCTTCATTAGTTAAATGGATTTATGCATGCAGTGATCAAAACTCTCCCAATTTTCTTTGTGTTTTATTTTTTTTTGTTTTGTTTTGTTTTGTTTTTTGTTTTTTTGGGGTTTTTTTTTGTTAATCTTCCATGGTTCACTGAAAAGCAACAATTTTCATGTTGAATATTATGTGTGTGGTATGTCCAAATCATATGATCTGCTTTGAAGAACTAGTATTTAGCTGAAAAACTCTCCATAGTCGATGGAGCTGTGATTATACCTCATGGTGTTTTGGCTTTGTTTCTCTGAAGATAAAGTGACTCCAGTATTTATTTTCACCTTCCCTTTTCCATTAAAGTCTTTATTATTCAGGTGTAAATATCTGTTCTCAACTTAGGTCAGTTCAGCTTTTTGTTGCCAGTTTAATGTTTAATTTTCACAGCTGTGCTTCTAATGTGCTTTGTCATCCTGCTTGCTGTGCTGAGCAGTTTAAATATTGTAACAAGTCAGACTAGACCTGCATGCAGAATATACAGAGATAAGAAATTTATTAAAATGCAAACTGTTTCTCTTAGAAAATTAGGTAATTTCTGTTTTCTTTATTTATTTAGACTCAACTACCTTTCAGATTGATGGATAATTTACAATAGGAAAAAGGTTTAACTGACAAGGCACGAGGAAGTAATTATCCTGTTTCCAGAATTTAGAGCATATGAAGAAATTAACTTTAAGTTGGTCGTGCATTTGTGGCAGCAGCTGACACTATCAGAGACATTTTGCTTGTTTGCTTGCTAGGTGTTCCTGAGAAGCCACAAATTACTGGATTTACCTCACCAATTATGGAGGGAGAGAGGATGCAGCTCACTTGCAAGACATCTGGTAGTAAGCCAGCGGCTGATATCAGATGGTTCAAGAACGACAAAGAAGTTAAAGGTATTTCAAAGGATTTTGGTGTCATTTGGTCCAATTGTGAAAACTATACCTTCTGCAGAATTATGGTTTTTCAATCTGTGTTTGTAAAGTTGCTCCTATTGGCTCATGAAGTGAGTAGGGGATAGCACACAAATGAAGAATTCATTGTAATTTACTGTAGTGGTCATCTAACCATCTTTTAATTGTTTTTTCAAATAGTAAAAACTGATGTTTTGGACTGCTTAGAACTCTGTGCAGCATAATCATCTCAACTATGAGGATTCATAGAGAAATGTTTTCCGGATTATTATCACAGTCAGACCACTCATCCCTGATATTTTCCCTTTTCATTTCCCTTGTGCCATTCCAGCATGGGGTATGTCTGACTTAGTTAATTCCCAGATTTAGGTTACACTCCCCTAAAAAATGTGACCAAGTGAGGCAGAACAGAAGAATGTGACCAGGAGGAGGCAGAAGAATTTCGGGTTCCCATAGGAGACCTATGGAGCCCTGCTCTGGTGAGGGAGAGCCAGGATGTAGCAACTGGGGGAATCTCAGCTGGGAAACTTGAAATCTTCAGCTGAGGCAAGGATGCTGACAGTCTGCAGCTAGGAGGAGGGAGATGGACTTCAAAGGGGATTGGGAAAACTTCACAGGGGCTGGGCGGAGTTGGGCAAAGTCTGCTGTAACTGAAAAGCCATTGAGTGACTAAAACCAAAGCTGACAGCAAGGATTTGCCTTCAAGGATGGAGCAAGCTAGGAAAGAGCTGCATATAAAAAGCTGTTTATTTTCTTTCCATCTTCTCTTTCACTTGGTATGCTCTTTGCTTAGAGCTTAGTTTTCTACTCCATATTCTTAAAAATGCTGGAATAGTTTTAAATCCTCATTGGTGAATGAGTGAGTGAAGAGAGATTCCTGATGCAGAAGACTGTCACTGTTCCAAGCCAGTTGAGATGCCCATTATAAAGTAGATGGATAAAAAGGATAAGGCATTGGTATTTGTTCGTGTCACCTCTATTCATTCTGCTATTAGACCAGATAAATAAACGATTCAGAATCCACCTTTTCTGTGCAGCTTTAAAAAACAAAAACAAACAAACAAGAAACCACCCTTCATTTATCTGATTTGTCTAATATTTTGGATTTCAGTAGCTCAATAAACTGCCTCAAGCAAAGTTACAGAGTTAATTACAGAACCATTTACCTTCCTTTACTATTCTTCACCAAGTTCAGTGTGCAAAAGTAGAGCCCTGGTATAAAATTGGTGAATAAAGGAGATTACAGATGATTGCCTAAAGAATCCTCTTCATTCTAGAGGTGTTCTTATATTTCTAATAAAAATGAGATTAGTACTGAAAGGAACAAGCATTTTAGACTGGAATAATTTGAAATGTGTAACAAGGATAGAAAATGAGTAAACAGAATAATTATTTTCAGTACTGGGAAATTTGAGGAAATTGATGAAAGAAAGGCATCATCTAATCAAATGCAAGTAAAAAGAAGAATTAAACAGCCCAGCTAACACACATGGCACAGCATAGATTGTGTCCTCCAGAAAAGATGGCAGGATGGATATCCATATTCAAGGCATGTTAAGATTGGAAATAACTCCAAGCAATGTCAATACTATAACAGAAACACTGATACAGATGGCCTAACAGCAAGGCAACATATATTTGAAAATATGTTATTTTAAAAGTTATGTTTTAAAATCTGGTGTAATACCTTTGCCTTTCCTTCAGCTGACAATAATTGAAGCCAGCAAGCAATTTGTTGATTTGACTATTTAATTTATTTTTCTCAATGGTTCCTAAAAGGATTTATAAAAAAAAAAAAACAAAAACCAAAAGAGGATGGGGGAAAAAAAGGTATATTAAAAAGCACGGTAAAAGGGAAAAAAACCCCAACAACCAGAAATAGGAGGAAAGTACTGGGAACATTCATTTCAGTTCAGTTTTCTAGGTCTTCTGAAGAGCACATTGCCATTTCTCAAAGGTTAGAAATAAAATAACCTAACCGGTCTGCAGTGGCATCAGCAGAAGTTACATTAGCTTTGTGCAGTGTAAAAGGTGAAATGATAAATCTGAGAAAATAGATATGAAATGATATGCTAATGCAGCTGACATTAAAGGTTAGAAGTTCGTCTGTCTAGCACCAGTAAATCCAATTGTGTTCCACTGTATTATACATGCTGCAAACGAATATAAATGATGCACTGAGATCAGAGTTGCACCAGAGGGGAAAAAGCCACTCTAAAATTGTAGCTCCATTGCTATGACTCAAAAAAGGAATCATCATCTGATAGAGGAATAGTGTTTGATAAAGTAAGTGTGAGTAATGAGAGAGACTGGATGTGAAGCACTGGGTGCCACACCTTTTAGTTCAGTGTTCTGTCACTCATATATGCACCAACTTAACAAAGGGATCTGCAGTTTAGCATTCTGGTGACATTTCTGGAAGATTATTAAGAACAAAAATAATGGAGAAGCTAAATGCAAATTTTTCATTTTGAAATTATCTTTCTCAACAAAATTTGTTAACATGCTCTTTCAACAAAATTATATAAATATCTTTTTTTAGGCTTCAGGAATATTTTGAATGGATTTTCTTCTTTTTTTTTTTTCTTTTCTTTTCCTAGGTGGACTGCATTTTAAAAATAATTAAGATTTTGTTGCAGCAGGTTAAGATACTTTGAGTAAGTTTCTTTAATTTTAGTATACACAAAGATTTCAGAGAGGTACTGATCATCATCTTGAGAAACCTCTAAAGCAAAGATGATTTTTTTTTATTATTTTTAGATAAAAAGGCCATTTCATGTCAGAACTTGTGTTTAAATGCAAACAAAAATTATATCTGCCATGTAAAACCAGAAAAACTGTCTTTTTAAAAGATGAATATTTCTGTGAGCTACAGGTGTGTGCTTTTATAAATAGCTTGCAATGAGCAAAGAATGATGGACATTCCATCATTTCCATTTATTATTTTCCCTATCAAACATCCATACCTATGAGATATAACCCTGTATTAGTTGATACAGTCATATCTTTATGTGCACCCTTCTGAAAGTCATGGAAGTGGGCCCAAAGCTGATCCCCAGGTTTTGTCTGGCCCAACATCTATCCCAAGGCTGAATCAAGTGGCTAAAGGTCTTCTTCAATTCATATTTGAAAAGTTTCCCAGGAAAGAAATTCCATAGAAACATTTCTGTCTGGGCTAGATTTTTCAGCATTCCAAACCACTCTTGTATAGTGTTTCCATTATTTGTAGATATTTCATGATATATAATCCAAATTTGTCTAAGTGTAACTTCTGTTTGTGCTCATCAGCTTTTGTTGTACATCTCTAAGGGGATTCTGGCTTTCTTTCTTTATGGCCATAATTTATGTACTTTAAAGCAACAGTTTGGTCTGGTTTTAGTCTTCTCTTCCTTGGGTTAGATAATATCAACATTAAGATGTCCTTGTACAGCTCCACTGAACGCAGTGTTTTTCAAAAGGTTTGTGGTACTTTTTTAATTTTTTTTCAGAAAGCCCAAAACTGGGCCTGATACTCTCAGTGTAGCCATGCACGTGCCAAAGAGAGAAGGATCACTTCCCCTGGCGTTCTGGCTGTGCTTTTGCTAATGCAAGGCAGTGGGTTTTAGCTTCCAGCCCTGCAAGGGCACGCTGTTCACAATGTTCAACGTGTCCTGCAACCCCTAGGTCCTCCTCTATAAAGCTGTATCCCTTCAGCCTGTTCCATTACAGTGCATCCCACACAAAATGCATGTGTCATGGATTTCTTTTCAACCTTTTCTTCAAGACAATATTTAGGAGAGAGAGGAGAAGCAAGAAAACAAATTAAACAGTAGGCTACAACTGACATATTAAAAAATCTGTAAAATATCCTGAGTGATGGTGTGTACCCAGTAGCTGATGTCCACCATTCTTACATCCAGTTGGGTTTGCATTCAGTTAGAACATATTACAATCACACCTTCATTTGCCATGAAGGAACATCTGAGAAAATACAGCTGGTAAGGAAGACAAGCTAAAAATTTCTGTTGGTGGGGATGCTAACAGTTTGTAGAATCTTATCACTCCCCTTTTTGCACAGGAAGTTGAACTCTTTCACATAGTAGATAACTAGAGAAGGACTTCTCAACCTCAGTTTGGGAAATTAACTGCTTTTCTTCTTCTAAAGGTTTAAAAATCCACAACATCTCAATAAAATTGAAGTTGTTGATGTTTTCAGGAGTCTTCTGTCCCCCACCTGAAGTCAGCAAGCAAAGGGATGTGCACATTACTTACAAGCAGAATGTAACCTATATAGGTGCTTATTATTGGATGTGGAAACCTAACTCTGGGAACAAAATCACATGTGTTTGCTTTAAATATTAGTGAAGACATTTGTTGTTTGATTATAATAACTTTGCTTTACCTCTGGTCAATATATCACTTACCTACTAATCCCTAAATATTAATAGTGACCATGACAGAAATGGAAATCTTTTAAAGCTTAGCAGCAAACAGGCAGAAAAATTCTCATATGCAAGAAATAATTATTTTTAGGGAAAAATGGAAACTGTATAACTACACAGTGTCCTTGTCTGTCTGGAGACAATGATAAACACCACCTCTCTGATGTCAGAGGTATTTTTAATCTAAAGTGATGTAGCTTAAGCCATTGAAGATTTGGTTTCTAAAATTGATATTTCATGGAAATTTTATTTAGGTCATTCTGTTCTCTAATGGGATTTAGTATAATTTGTAAAACTGAAACCTCTCACTTTTTTTAGGGCACAGAGGACATATGAAATCTCAGTGTAATTTAATATATATGTTTAAGTATTTATAGATGTCTTTTCAAGCTTTCACTGCAATAAATCAATACAACAAGCTTACCATTTTTCTGAAATAAACTAAAATCAATAAGTATCACAAGTAGTTGGGAACCAAGTAAAACAATTCTTAAGTATGTGTAAGAAGATCTCATGTTCCAGTTAATACATTCAGACATTTTAACTCAAATGCTCAGTCTTTTGGATCTTCATTTCTGATCTAGCATGTATTTCTTACAACAAAATGTTCTGAATGTGAATCTTAACCTTGAGCTGAGATGATGCTTCCTAAGCATAGCTGAAAACTCCCTCCACTGCAATGTCAGGTCTGAAAACTCAGATTTTTGACTGGATTTGCACAAAAGTATCAGGTCAGTTTAGAATGGTATAAAGCAGTGAGTGGAAGTTCTCTGCAGTAATTTTATTTCTGGTAGTCTTGGGACTCATTTGTATATTCCAGTTAATACTGTGACATGCTCTATTTACAGCTGTTTATTACCATTGATGACTATACCTGGTTCTATCAGTAAATTAGCATAATTCTAACCAAACAACAGAATAAGCAATGAATAAAGTAAACACAGGATTAATCTGTGTGCACGTGGCTTCAGTAATGTCCATGTATTGCATTACTGTGAGAGGCTGTAAGAACGAACTTGGGAAATTTTATGTCCAGTGACACTGTGAATATGTAAGGTGATGAGGGTGGGACAAGATCACCATCTTTTTCAGATGACCGACAGAGAACATTTATACCAAATATGGACCTAAACATTCGAGAGGTATTAATGAATGGAATTTCTGTTTGAATGCAGTATCATGGAACCAGTTTTAAAATTTTCTCTTTCAATATGTATCTCTACTCTGACAATGAGAGCAAATTGAGGAATAACTAATTACCTTGATATTAAAGAGACCAACAATGAAAGATGGTTTTATTCCAACAACTGTGGTGGAAAATTTAGCTGTGTAATGCTGGACTACTTTTTTTTCCAAAAAATATTGGAAAGATAACTAACAGTTTACTCTTTCTTTCAGATGTTAAATATTTAAAAGAAGAAGATGCAAATCGTAAAACATTCACAGTCAGCAGCACGCTGGATTTCCTAGCAGATCGCAGTGATGATGGTGCAGTTGTAAGTTGCAGAGTAGATCATGAGTCCCTAAACTCTACACCTCAGATAGCAATGCAGGTTCTAGAAATCCACTGTAAGTAATACACATTATACATGCTTGCTTTTATAGTTTTGTTTTGTTTCAGAGTGTCTGTTGGAGCAAAGTTCTCTGGTGTTGTGCAGATAGATAACATCTTTTTTTAGCCGAATTCTGTGGTTTGTATTTGGTTGGTTGAGTGTGGTTTTTATTTTATTTTTACAGGAGTGACTCAAAATAGTTTAATGAAATCTTTACCATTGAGAGCACTATGGGATTAAGTTCTTGGTTTTCTTTGACAAGTAGTGGAAAGAAAATGCATTTATCTTTTTTGGTTATCATTGAAGCAATGTAAATGTGTTATTAACATCAAGAGCATTCTAATTCACAGTTTTCCTTGAAATTTTCTCGAAACTTGAAACAAAGGTATAAATAAGCAAAGTCTGTAGCAGATCACCTCAATGATGCTGAATCCTGCTAAAGAAACCCACTAGTGTTGTTGATAGCACAGACTCAGGAAGAAAAGCTCTTTATTTTTAGGCCTGGCCCACACAAATTTTTAATCTAGTTAATCCAAACTTCAGTTGTATTGTATCTTTATATATTGGCTATTTTTAAATTTCAAACAGCATTTCTGGAGAAGATGTTTTCCACAGTGCATTGTTCCAAAGCTGAATGACTCTGGTTTTCTATCTGTGTGCCCTACTCTGAAGTCAGGTTGTCCTTTGAGTCAGTGGGATTTTGTCTCTTATAAACTGTGAGAGACACCATCAGCTGACATTTTCATATTCATTTGTATTATATCCACCATTTTTCAGGGCATAGCTGAAGGGGTTTTTTGGGTGGGGTGTTTTTTTGTTTTTGGTTTTTTTTGTTTTTTTTTTTTTTTTTCTGGAGAACACCTGTACATCTCGTTGCCTAGCTAGCAGCAGCAGGCATCTGCAAAATGCAGACCAAAGGAAGGCAAAAGACCTTTCATGAATCTCTTTCTAGATCAGGTACAATCAATCTGTTATAAACCAGACAAGTTGTCCCTGAAGCAGGCAAGTGTTCAGTGACTGCAACCAGTTCCTGGGGAACCATGTCAAGGACTGCTGCCATATGTAACTTGTTTCTAAACAGGGATATTTCTATAAGCATCTAAGACTTGCAGCACATGTAAAATGCAGGAATGGCAAAAGCACTCTGTACACAGAAGCTGACAACTTTGCTAAAAATGCCATCTGCAAAAAAAAAAAAATCTGAAAAAGAAGAGAATGTGGATTAGCATATGTGCTAAAAATGTTTCTGAAACATTCTTGCCATCATTTTTCTGAGGGAGATCAGGGCCTTTCTTCAGCAAATGGCTATTAAACACTTCTCCTAATATATTCAAATGCATCTGTGCTGGCAACATGAATCAACAACTTTCTTTCCTTGAATTCTAAATTGCACAGCCATCAGCCACTGAACTCGCCCATGCCTTCACTTCCTAATTCTTTGCTCTTTCTTCAGTGCCTTGCTCAAGATGTTGGCACCACGGGAGATGAACCAAATTTAATGGAACACTAGATGTAGAAATTGAACAGCTAAAAAGAGTTTAAAATGGCTGCAATATAGTGTAATGTGCCTGAAAATAAAGGCAGGGCTCTGATTTACATGACCTTCATATGGCAAAAAAGTCTTTTTTGTGGCCTTTTGTATATAAAACTTCCTGAATATTTGTTGTTTCCTTCCAGTTTTCACCCTTATAGTAAGGCACTACCTTGTTAAATAGCAGTGAGGTGCATCTTCCTCTAGGCTTGTTTCTCCAAAATTTGAACAAGTCCCTTCTCCCTCTTCTCTGGCCTCCCTGAAGTTCTCCAACAAGGTCAGACTGCACTGGGTGTTTCCATTACTGGTGTGCTTTATGTTTGTGTCCCGCCAGACTTCCAGCTTATCAAAAGCCATAATGCACAAGTAATTGTTCTCTATCATTCCTGCTTGCTCCATTAATTTTCCACCAATCAATTTAATACTCTCTAGCACTGGTATAGAGTCGTTACACATAGAAAGAGAAGTGATAAATGTGCCAAAAGAAGCTGAAGTTTAGGGCAGAGAGTGGAAGAACCCTTTAAAGCTATGGAGAAAGAAATATTCTGTTATTGGTGACAAGAACACTAAGATCAGTCTTTTGTTGTCCTTGTCCTTGCCACCTACATTTCCATGGTCGGCATGCTCAGGAGTCTTAATGCTGGTCAAATTTTGAAAGGAAACTTTATAAAAAGAGAAGAAGAGGTGTGAAATGATTACTGGGGCAATACCAAACGCTCCAAGTGGAGTACATTACACTGGACCTGGGCTCCTTGATTTTATTCTCCTTGTGTTGCTCACCATTGTCATGGATATTACTGCAGCCACTGGGAGCTGCTTTTTTTTCTGTCAGTCCATAAGATTTCAAACGTATAAAAGATATCTTGTTTATATCAACAAGAATCATGCTCGCAGCACCTTGTGGAAGCTGATCCAACATATATCCTCAATGCCACCAAGCAGCATGGGTAAAATAGTGCTGGCAAAGTTGATGAATTATGGGACCCCAAAGTCAGGAGAATTTGTTAATCTGACAATCTGTAGGCTCCAAAGTCACAACCAAGTTAGTGTGGCATTGCCACATGCTCTTAATGTCCCAGAAATCTATAAAATTAGCAGACAACTGTGAGAGAATGATAAGCAAGTCTCTTAAAATGGTCAAACAGAACAGCATGGGTGAGGATCAGTTTGGCAGGGAATGAATGCACAAAGATGAGGCATCACTCACCAGAACTGCACTTGAGTTTTAAGCACCTTCTTAAAATCTGAAAATTTTTATCTGTGGTACATGGATGCTCCTCATGAATTATCAGTGTCTCATGACTAATTAGAAGGAAAGGGCAATAAGAACTTGTCTAGGCATTTCTGCCCTGTATAATTATGCCTGAAAGTTGAAAAGCCTGGTTTGTTTCAAGCAACTAGCCCCTGACAACGGACAAAATTTGTGGTTCCATCAAAACAAACAAACAAACCTAAAAGCAAAGGAAAATAAAAGAGAACAGTAGGAAGTGCAGGGTTGTGTTTGCATCCAGTGCAATCTGGATAGGTATTGCATAGGTAGAGGGAAAAAAAGCAAAATAATGGAATGAAATGACAGGTTTTGATATATGCCTAGTGAAAGATAGAATGAAATTAAATCTGCCTTAGATGCTGGGACTGTGTGAAACAGATATTGGTAATTAGTCCATGGAGAGATGTAGATAGAAGTGCTTATGAGCCCACACAGCTGCTTTTATCATCAACTTCAGTAGGAAGTAAACTTAACAAAATTAAAGCCATCAGATATAGAATATGTTTATTCCCACTTCTTCCCCTTACACGAATCTTATGTTTTATTATTGTGATAGAGCAAATAAGCTTTCCTAGTAGTGTTACAGTGTATGAAATGAAGCTGAGGACTAAACTTTTACACTCAAAGTATTTTTTTTCTGTTATTCATATTTATGTGTATGTGATAGAAATAGTGCCTAAGTCCTTCTGCTGCTCTTTGCTTTACTTTCATTCTTATAGTTCAGTCTGGCAGTTGAGATTATCTATATTATTATCTTGAAGGAGGGTGTGGTCAATCCTTTTTTTTACAGGGCTTCACAGATTAATTTTGCAAACTCAAAATATTAAAATAAAAGGGGAAAGCATAACATACCCCCCCTCCAATTACGGGATAATTAGCTCCTCCAATCTTCTGATTTGTGTGTAATATATGTTGTGTCTCACTTGTGTTCATCTGAACAATCCTGTTCATCTGTATGTTGTGCTCTGTGCACTGCAGGGCAGCCCAATTGCCCAAGTCTTTCTGCTGTGCTGAAAGGTTGGACTGTAATTTAGTTTCTGCTTGGCCAGCAGAGGTTTGTGGTAGCATGACACTGCTTGCTGAGTTTATTTTTCTTGTAACCCTTACTGTCAATAGCAAACCTAAAATAGACTTGTATCCCCTCTGGCTTTGCTCTGAAGTTTGCTTGTCAGCCTAGCTGCCACTGATTATTAGGAAGTGCTTCTTGTAAGTGAGAAATACAAATCTCAAAGGGATATTTAATTTCATTGTTTACTTCTATGTTCAGACTAAACAAAGAATATATTCTTTGTTCCCGTATTAAAGAATGATGGGTACAGTGCTTCAATTTTGAAAGCTTCTCAGTACAATGTTTAAGAGATTGTCTAAGTCCTTATGCATGCTGAAAAGATGTGAAAAAGTCTATGTCCTTATGCATGCTGAAAAAATGTGAAAAGACATTTTGAGGGCATGTACAATTTCTCGTCCACATCTGGGAAGTCAATGAATTCTTCTTATCCCTCCTCAGTGTTGCAGATATGTTGTGGTTCCCAAAAGCAGCATCTTCTCTTCCTTCCAGGTCTTATCTGAGCAGCAACCAGCCAACATGTTGCTTCATACTGAACAGAGTGCCATAAAATTACCCAGTGGTAATTACCTTACCTTAGTGAAGATTCTCTGACTACAGTAAATTACCCAGCAGACCTCAGTAAAAATTAATTGTGTAAATCTACCCCAGAGGCTGCTTTTGAAGCCTTAAAGTGAAATCAAATCATTTGAACTTCAAACCTAATCATCGTGCTTCTAAAATGGCAGCTGCGATGTGATCCGTGCTAATGGACTCAGTGAGATTTTGCTCAAAAGCTGACCACACTCCCAAATGACAGCACTAATAAGCTAAATATGTGTTATGTAAAGAAGTGTCTAGAGAGGCAATTCTGAGTAAATTCCATATTGGCAGACACAGATGTGCAGTGAATTGTCAGCCTGACAAATCTATAGCCGTCAGCTAACTTGCTTCCACAGGCTATTCCAACATGTTTGTGTGATAGGCACACTTCTTTTGTGGGCTGTTATTAGATTCTTTTGCAATGAACAGCTGGACTTTAAAATTAGGCAGTCATTCCATGAGAATGTTGGAATCTTTGTCCTGGAAATAAAGGTATTGATTTTGCATTAAGTAAAGATAGCCCTGGGAGTGCAGCAGGCTGCGGATGGGATCAGCCACGCGCTGGTG